ACGTGTGCTCTTCAAATCTTGCTATTAACATTTTCGACTCAGTTTTTCATGAGGAATACGTAGATGGCGGCTCCTCCGGGTGATCTGGATCACCCTGTATACAGACAAATGGAGGTGTGAATTAAGCAATCATTATCATCACCTGATACACTTTGAATAATGTCAACCCTATCGTAACTTTGAACTCATAATTGAAAAAGTTAACAGAAGAGAGTTTTATTATACTATTTTGGAAATGTCTCGGTGTTAGCTATAAAAATTTACTATCAAAAGTAAGGCATTCCATTTAAGAAATATAAAAGAAATATAAAAATAGAAAATATATTTAATTTTACTTTTGATAAAGTTTTATACCATATTATATAAGCAAAAAATTAAATACTACTTGCTAAACACTATACTAATCATTTAGTTAAAAAATAGGAACATCGGAAAACTTTAAACTAATTTAAGTTGTTTTTAAACTAATCTTCAAAATATCTTCTAAATATGATTTATTATAACAGATTAAGTTGGACTTGGTTAGATGGCGTGAGAGTGAGTGGTAGCGTGTGTGAGAGTGAACCTTTAGAATAAGCGGAAATAGTGATAAGAAGCGAGAAAGATGATAGGAGAAGGTGTGAAGAGGAGTGGATTATGGCGAAGGTCAAGGGTAATTGAAGGGAAGACAGGAAGTGAAGGTGGTGAGGCGTGGGAGAGTGATTTGTGGGGGACGTGTAGTAAGTAGGTTATGGCGGACAAAGATTTGGCGGGAAGCGGAAGTATAGGCAAGATGGGTAGAGGGAAGGTAGTCGGTAAGGTAGAAAGTAGACAGAGAAGGCTAACATCGGAGGAAGGATTAAGAGTGACATTTAGTGGACAGGTGGAGTTTGATAAATTAAAGGAGTTGATAAAAGAGGTAGGTGAGGAATTGAAGGTATTAAAAGAGGAAAGGAAGATATGGAAAGAGGAAATGGAGGAATATAGGAAGAGGGAAAGGGAATGGGATATAAAAAGAAGTAATTTAAAGAAAAGGATTACAGAACTTGAAAAATGGAAGAAAGAAAAGGAAAAATGGATAGCGGAGAGGGAGGAGGAAGAAAGCGTGAGCTGTGAGAGTAGAGATGGCAAAAGTGTAAGAAGTATAAGAAGCATAGGGTCGGTTAGTTCGGGATCAAGGGGGAGTGAAGATAGGTTAAGTGTGAGAGAGGTGGAAAGGCTGAAGAGATTCGTGTCGGTTAAAGAGAGAGAGGAAAGGCGAAATAATGTAATAATAAGAGGGGTGAAAATTAAAAGAGAAATAGAAGGAGATAGGAAGAAATGTGCGGAGTGGATAAAAAGTTAGTTTAAGGAAAAGCTGGGGGTAGAAGGGGAGGTAGTGTTCTGTAGACAGAGTGGGACGGTACTATTAGTAAAGCTGGAGAGTGATGAAATAAAAAGAGGTGATGAGGAATAAGAGTAAATTGAAAGAAGAAAGTATATATATTGAAAATGATTTGAGCTGGGAGGAAAGGACAACACAAGTAAAGATTAACAGATGGGTGAGAAAACAAAAAGGTAAAGGAATAGATTTAAAGGTTGGGTATGGAAGAGTGAGGGTGGGTAACGTTTGGTGGACATGGGAGAAGTTAGAGAGAGAGGAAGAGGAAAGGGAGAATAAGAGAAGAAAAGGAAGGGAAGGAAGGAGGGGCGGGGAATGTTAGAGAGGAGTTAGAGAACCATTTTGCGTAGGCCAAGAAGGGTATCCGGGAGGTGACGGGGGAGAGGGAGGAAAGAGGAAAAGGGGGAGGAAAGGAATAAGGAAAAGGAAAAGTAAGGTTAAGGAAAAGAAAAAGGGTTAAGGTACAAAGAAGGTAATTTTCTGGAATGTGGCAGGAGTTTCTAATAAAGGGGTGGATTTTTGGAAGTATGTAGGGGAATTTGACTTTGTTAGTTTAAGTGAGACATGGGTAGAGGAGAAGAGCTGGGAAAATATGAAAGAGAGGTTGCCAGAGTCACACGAGTGGATTTGTAGTTATGCCGAAAGGGTCAAGGACAGAGGAAGAGCAAAGGGAGGTTTTAT